CATGAGGCAAAGAAGCAGAGACTCCAGGGTGCAGAGACCACAGTTACTTCTCCTCCCAGAATGTTTATAGTCACTGGTCCAGCAGATGGTCTAGCCAACCTCGGGACCCGTAATTTGCTACAGACCTCCGTGTGGCCAAATCAATTCTTATGAAGCCATTTGGTGACCATTAATTTTCTCTTAATCAGAGAAAACTGCTCTGGCTTGTTTTCATCAAATTATCACAAATTGGCTCAATTTCTGTTTCTCTTGGCAATAAAAAAACAAACACTAAATGTTTTATAATTAGGATTTATTATTATCATTTCACATCAAGTATGTTGCTTTTTAAAACTGTTGCCTTCTTTTTAAATGGATAGAACAAAGAGTCTAAGATATTCACAGCAGTTTCTGTCAGGGTTGAGGAGAGCCCTGGATGACTTCAGCTACAGGTCAGAATGAGCCATCTGCTGCAGACAGACAGGTACAGCCAAACCTTACCTCTCACTGTGAGCATTAAGACATTTCCTTTTTTTGTCCTTCTGCACTTGTACAGTAAGTCATATGTGATATTTAAAAAATCATCTTATGGAAAGTTCAAGTTATAAAATGTGAATAGTTGGACGCAGTGATACACTTTGTTCAAAACCACCTGCAGCTGGTCTGTTTAAAAGCATCCTGACAGAAGAGATACATTTAAAAAAGGTACATTAAAAGTGGTACATTTTTGTATCGACTAGGCTGAAAGCTACCAATCCTGTGATGTCACTGAAAGTGAAATTGTCTTTGGTGGCCTGTTAACTCTAAAGTTACCGTAAGTCAACTTTGGTCAAACAAAGCATACATCACTTTTTGAGATTTTGTGTATATTTTTAGTCCACCACTTTCTGATTGGACCTGAACTACCAATTAACTTCATTCTTCTATTCAAACATAAATATACATATTTAGAAGAAGAAACTAACATGGATGAAGTTATAATTTATTTTGTACATACAGTTATATATTCACATCTGTTTCCTGAAACCGAAAAGGATGAAGGTGATATTTCTACTCCACACTTTAATGAGATTGATGTTAAAGAAAGTGATTCTGTATAAAAGCACACTCTTTTTTTAATACAGATGCAAATCACTGGTGCATGAAGCAAATTAGCTGTTACTGACCTTCTTTTTATGTATAACTATTTCATATAGAAGTTAAACAATAATAATTAAACAAATTTGTGAAGGATGCATTCAGTCCCACATCTTTTAAACTAAAAAAACATCTGATTTAGTTTTAATCTTTAATTTTACTAACTACTTATCCCTCTTTCTAACTCATCTTTTTATAATGTAGGAAAACCAAATCAGTTTAAACATAGAAACAATGAAAATAAAACAATGAAAAAAGCAAAATAATTAGAGAGCAGGTTGAATTAACAGTATTGATGTGTTAAACAAGTAGATCAAAGAAAAATTAATAGTTAAATCTATATTTTGGTGCTTCCCTCTACTAATGTTCTAAATGGCTTTTTGTGTTTGTTCTTTTACCAGCTTGAAGTGGTAGATTATGTTAATTCCAAAAAATTGTAAAAAGGATACATATAAAGAAAAATATATGAATTCTTAAGCCTTGTGTCTACTTACTCTGAATTTTCATTTTTGTACTTTTGTCTATGTTTATGCCTAGTATGGAAAACATGGTTTTGGGGAGACTGACTAAGGCACTGACTAAGTGTTTGGATTTCTAATATCCCTGCTAAAAGCCACGCAATTATTATAATGTAGTTGACATGTACAGTATTCCACTTTAAAGCTTTTAGGTACACAGTCTACAATACCCTGTTAGTGATTAACAGCACAAGCAATGCAAAACAACATACACAATTAGAATTTAAAAGTAGCAATGAATCATAATGTGCAATACACAGGCATTTTTTTTCCTTCTTCAGTCATAGCATAGTCTTATGGCAACCTGATGACAAGTATTCAATACCATTACTTACAGTACTATTGAGTTTTCCGGTTTTATATTCATCTCCAGTGTCAGTATTGCAAAATGGTTTGTTCTGGGGTGCAGTTTTAATAGTGTAGAAATATGAGAGTTATATTTGAGTAACACCCCTATAAAGAGACAGCAGCACAACAAGCTGTGGTTCTCAGCCCTCATCCTGAGGGACTGCTGTGTCTGCTGGCTTTCCATTCCAACTGATCCCTTAATCACCCATGCAAATTGATGCATGTAATTGATCTGCTTGCTTGTTTAAACTTTTTTCTGCACCCATTTCATAGTGTGAAAAAAATACCTCGATGTACATTGTTTGCGGGAAGGGTCGGAATGACATTTACTCATCACTCTCAAATGCTGGTCTCCAGTGTCCTCGCTGACGTACCTGTGCTTGATCCCACAGGAGAATCAGAGTCAGTTAGATCTGCTGCTTCAGACATGGCCATCACTTCATAGTGATGTTAGTTAATCAGGAAGTCTGTGCCACAGATAGCGGTGAGGCTTCTTATTCTGATCTGCCTCCTGGACATGAAGACATGATGTAACATATTGGTGTAGAGTTATTTTCTTTCATGAGACTGTTTGCATCTTATTGCACACCTGCTGACTGAAGCAAGAAAGGCTTGAAGCACCTGTTTGGTACACCTTCACATCTTCTGTTGTATGACTTCTCTTCCCATGGCGGCCACTAATCAACTGTGAATATTTGCTCACTGGCGCACTTGGAGGAACACAAACTAGAACGGCCTAGTAGTTTTTAAAATGATCTGTGGATCGAGTAGTCAGAGATGAATGTGGCAGTATAACAATATCATGATTATTGATGATATCAAGTTTAAGATACAAAACTCAACCACTACTGAAACAATTCGATCTAACTCAGAAACCGCCCAGCGATCTATAGTATGATTAATCACTCTCTTAATATGTTCTTCTTTCCATGAAGTACTGCACCTGCAAAATCATCAACAGGATTGTCTATGAAGTGATGGACACTGAGCACCAATCACTTACTTTTTCAGTTGTACTGATAATTCTACGGTTATTACGGATGTTGAAAGTGCGTTTCACACCATGCCATAAGAAGAATGATGAGGAACTGGATGATTTATTGTACTTCACAACCACCCAAACGTATCTGCCTTGACTGTGAAATGAAATTACTTTTTATCAGGAAATCAACTGTGTTCAATTAGGCATAAGCCTACCTCATGGTAATGGCAATAATAAGTCCTACCAGTGGAACAGTGCTATTACCATTGTAATTAACTTTTTTTTATCATTACACATTGGCCTGTGAGATCCGTGTTAGCTGGAGGGACTAAAAAACAAGTTCACAGCTTTCTCTTCATTTAGGTAATCTTAGTCTTGCTTTATCAAATAGCAGTTGTTACATTCTGAAGTTAAAACTGGGAAAACATTATGAATTAAAAATACAGTACGGAAAGTAAAGTGAATTAATAATGATTTAATTTGCATTATACAAGATGCCAAGCTGTATACAAAAAGGTTTTCCTGTTCACCTGACGCATAGAAAACCTAACAAACTGTCCTGGCAGTGCTGTCTGTTACTTCACTAAATCAGCTCAACATTTATACCCAGCTTGCCTTTTTACCTGCAAACATCTGCCGATGAGTGGTTAGTAGCCTGATAATCGGCTAGTGGAAATTGAACTTGACAACAACACTGGTAGGTGCTTTTATTTTCAGAGGTCTGTCTCCATTGCTTCTCACTGTTTATCCCACTGAATGGGTCAATATAGGGGATCATAGGAGCAGTGTATGACACTGGGCAAATTAAATCAATTCTGCTAAATAGTACTCATCAAGTCAAACTCCCTGCACAAAACAGGGTGATAAGGTAGGCTTTTGGTTTCTCAATTTGATCAAGTTTTGCAGCTTCTTTATTTTTCTGTTGTCAGCTAGATGAACATTAAAATATAGGGAGATGAACTTAACAGCAGATAAGCAAAACTAACATATACTACCTTTAGACTTTTCTTCTTCTGATTAAGCCTTTACTAAAATGATGTTCTGTGGAATGCAATGCCTAATTCTAAAGAAGCTGAACTTTTCTTTGGATGTAATGGGGGGTTATATGGTTTGAGCTGTGGTTTCTTGCCGATATATCATGTTGACCGGGTTCAGGCTGACAAAAAAAGCCTGTTTCCTTCCATAAATATTCCAGCAGGACTCTACAGCAATAACTACTGCCGCAGATCTGAAGAGATAAATTTATTACCATTCAGCAGCTAGGGCTTGTGGGAGAGAAATGAAGATGAAAAGCTCACACCCTGACATTAGTTCGCAAAGGCCAAGCTTATTACGAGAAGCAGGAGAGAAGCAATCAAATCAATGTTTAGTGTCTGGGATTCTGTGTACTTTGGCATCTTGCAGGGATTTATTTACTATCTTGTGGTCTAACCCCATAAATCCGTGTTTCACAAATGGGGAGATAGAAGCCCAGCTGTGGTGAATGTTTTCCCAAATATTATTTCTAGATCTGGAACAAAATTCCAAATATTTTGAAAGATCACTAGACAATATTTACTTTCATTTTGCTTATTGTGTGATGTTAACCTGTTCAGTTCAAGACAGGCGAATTTCCTTTGATGATGAAAAAGTTCCTGTTAGGAAAAGATAATGGGAAGTCCTGTCCAGGTCTGTAATTTCTTAATTTGCATCTGTAATTCTTAGTCCCAAGATAAATGACTAATTTCTCTCAAATCTGTCACTAAAATCTAACATACAGTACTAATCATTCAATATCTTTTAAAAGTTCTTATTTTTGTGCTTAAAGGGAAAGCAAATGCTCTCTAATTACACTAATGTTTATCTTCCTCTTTGCAGTTCTGTAGGGTTCATAGTTGTTTGGTTTATGGAAAACCATTGCCTCTGTTAGCAAACTCTTAAGTTATTATTTTTCACCTCCTAAGATTTTAAGTTAAGCAAACATAAATTTCCCCAAGATAAAACCAACATGTGTATCTTAATCATGATAATTTTGTACCTTCTCTTCCCAAACTTAGGATTTGGGATGACCACACCAGCAACAGTGGCCGGCAAGGTATTCCTGATCTTTTATGGACTGCTGGGCTGTGCTGGAACCATCCTTTTCTTTAACCTCTTCCTGGAGAGGATTATCACCCTGCTGGCTGTCATCATGAAAGCCTTCCACGAGCGCCAGCTGAGGAGGAGCGGCCTCCTGCCACCCACCATTCGCCGAGGCTCCGCCTTCTCGGATTCGGGAAGCCTGGCGGGCTGGAAGCCTTCCGTTTACTATGTCATGATGATCCTGGGTTTGTCAGCCATCATACTGTCTTGCTGCGCCTCTGCAATGTATACTCCAGTGGAGGGCTGGAACTACATTGACTCGCTCTACTATTGCTTTGTCACCTTCAGCACCATCGGCTTTGGGGATCTAGTGAGCAGCCAGAACGCTGCGTACGAGAACCAGGGTTTGTACCGCTTCGGGAATTTCGTCTTCATACTTATGGGGGTGTGTTGCATCTACTCCCTTTTCAACGTCATCTCCATCGTCATCAAGCAGGTGCTGAACTGGATGCTAAAGAAAATGGACTGCCTGTGCTGCCGCCGCTGTCACAAGACCAACGCCTTCCTGGGCCGCCGCAACGCCATCACGCCGGGCTCGCGGCTGCGCCGGGGACACCTCCCCTCGGAAACGGAGGGGACGTGCGACAGCGACACCGAGGGCCGCCGGCTGTCTGGGGAGATGATCTCCATGAGGGACCTCACAGCCTCCAACAAGGTCTCCCTGGCGATCATGCAGAAGCAGCTCTCGGAGACGGCCAATGGCTTCCCGCGGACCGTATGCGGCAGCTCGCGGCACAATGGCTTCTCCGGCGGGGTGGGCGCCCTGGCCATCATGAACAACCGGCTGGCGGAGACCAGCGACACCCGGTAGAGCCTACAGCCAGGGCAGCCCCTGCTCTCACTGCTTGCTGCTTAGGCCGTGTCCTCCGTTAATGTTATTATTTACTATTTCTGTTTTCAGGACATGAGCCAGGTTTGCTGTTGTTGTGATTTTTTTATATGTTCTATCAAACCCACTCAAGCACATATGAGTTTTTGTTTTCCTAAATTTATGCCCATTTTACAAGAAGTGCGAGATACCCATATCACGAGGACACACCACAACTCTCATCAGCTGGAAATAAACCTAGTCTTCAGATGGATATCTATACTGTTAGAGAGCACAGTATTCCAATGCTTTCAGTCATTTTAATGCTGTACTGGAACACACTGCCATAAAATGAATATCATAATAAAATCACTTGCCAATATTGCTGCTTTAAGCTGAATTCTAAAAAGTTCATAGGAAGCTTATGTGATATGAAGCTGAAATTGAAATTATTTTTCAGAGAGAGAGATTACAGTAATGTTATTGGATCATGTTTAATGGTCCCCACTTAAGATTTGACATTTAAAGGTACTTACTCAAACGTAGTGTAATGACAATGTAAATTCATATGCAACAGGTATAATAGCATTTGTATTAAAGATGTATGTAATTAGAGACAGCATGGAGTACAGAATGTGTATGAGACTTACAATAAATACTAAATGTTAATTGCATTGTAGTTACACCTTAAGTAGTCAATTACAATTAGGCACATTTTTTTTAGTAACACCTTTAACCGACTGCCAGTATCTATCACTGATATAATTTTTCATAATTTTAAGATCCCTGAAAAGTAACTGCTGTCAGTCATTAGGATATTCACTACTGGCTGCACTGCAGATTTTTGTTTTTAATTCCAATATTTCACACAATTATTTGTGCAGCTGTGTGATAAGACAATATACACCCATTGTCTTTTAACATACTGTAGCTATACACAAAGTGTAGAAAAATCCATTAAGCGCCCAATTGCTCCAAGTCCTGTGTTGTGATGAGTCAGAGCCTATTAATAAAGATCCAGTACCTGTATGCCCTATTACACAAGTAAAAATATATTTGTGTATTTGACACGGTACAACAATACTTTTTTTCACAGCCTTGTCACTTTCAGTCTCTGGGTTCAGTCTGACTTTAAAACCAAAAGAGAAAGGAGAGAACTCCACTGCTAAGTAGGGTGAGGATGTGGTCCACCAATAATTGATAGAAAACTAAGACTGCAAGGATTTTGAAATTACCATTTAACTGAAACAAATGAAAAATATGTGCATCTGTTCTAAATTAATTGTTCCAAGTTGAATCTTATTGCTTAATGCCAATCAGGTGTTCAGTATTGCGTCCACCGATTAGAGTAAGTGGCCTCATGATCAGTGAAAGAATTGACACATTAGGGTGATTCGTTATTAAGACAAGGCAAACACAGATGATATGATATGGAAAACTAAAAAAAATGTACTCTTGGTCTCTGTAATAATGAATGATGGCAGATTAGGGACAACAGGAAAGTAATTTTGTTCTTTTAAAACATTAGAATTTCAGGCACTCATTACTGCAAAGAATATATTTGCTTGGTAACTGGTGCTGTGATTTTAAAAGCATTACTTTTTCCCCCCCGAGTACTTTTTTAATATGGAATCTTTATCCTCGAATCAGACACCGCTGTCATGAAATATACAGAATTCAAAATGTTTTTCAACACTTCAGTGTTCTCCCATGGATTTTTTCACCTTTAGTTTATTGCATGCATGTGTACTTCACAGCAGAGATTTGGGAAATCTGGACTGTATTCATACATTATTCAAACATCAGTTGCTTGGATTTTACTCAAATCAGTTATGCCTCGCACTTCAAAAACTTAAATTAATAAAAAACAGCAGGCACTGCTTACAAACTCCTTACCTGCCCAGATTATGTGTTATAGGAATATGTAAACCCCATGGTTTTCTTAAATATTTGTGATATTATTTCTGATGTTTCTTAAATACCTCCTTGACCACCCAGTTGTAGAAATCACAGCTCCTTTTGAATACTCGTATGATCCTCTTGCAGCTCTTGTGCTATTGTCTAAAGTGCTGAAATCAGGCAGACATTTAACTAAGTTCCTTCCACAGGAACCAAAACCATTTTACTCATCGAAATAATACATTTCATGTTTGTATCTGTGCTTCTTCTCAACAGATAAGAGATGCTTAATCTGTTTACACAGTTGGCTTTTAAGTGACAATACAAATATAAAATTAACAAGGCTTAATTTAACTGGTAAAGAACACAACTCTTCCTGTCGTTCTATATAAAGTGACCAAAAAAAAAATAACTTAAAGGAACTTTAATCAGCTAATGAGCATAGTGCAAACTTGTGTGTTTTTTAAACCATTTAAGACCATATACTGTACATGCTTTCAATGTTAGTTCTGATTAGAATGATAAAATACTTCCCACTACATGCAGGGATGTGTCTGGTTCTGTATCAATCCTGTAATCAAAGAGCAGTTGTACTCTTTCTGTGTTAACAGGAAAGTACATTTAATCAGGGTTAGAATAGCAGACGGACTGTAGGAAGGCCATTGATACAGAATTAGAAGAAATGGAAGCTAATCAGGGCTTTGTCACTAGTTTGTTAAGTACAGCAGATTTACGGATATTTTAAATTGAGAATGACTCAGTGTGAAGTACTCTTACACAGTACCTTTGTCAATTTTGTTTCTCACCCCATTTTAAATTAAAAGCTATACACTAGTCTGTAGTGGAGATCCTGGCTGTATATAGTACTGCTATTTTTAATACTGTACCGTAGTCTAACACAGTGCTTCTCAGTCCTTGTCCTACAGTATCCAACACTGGTTTCAATCGGGCCCTTAAACCATCAGTCCTTATTGGTGACTTGTTTTGTGTTCCATTATGGGTTTGTGGACTACCATGAATACCCCAGTTAATTATTTCCAGTTTCACCACACACAACTTTATGTAATCTCTCCTTAACGTGCTTACTAAGAATCTGCTCCCTTATTTCTCACTAAAAAGTCTTAATGGTAGATCAGCTGACAACGAACAGACAGGTGGGAAAGACACGGTATCAGACACTCGCATGACGAATCAGTGTTTTCCCTTCTGCTTTAATCCGATTTATTTATATTTCTGTTTTCACATTAGAATGGGGACAGTCATGAAACTGACTAATTGGCACAAAGTTCATACCAACTACTAATCCTATTCAGCTTTTAAGAACTGAAAGCAAATTTTAAAAAGGCCACACACAGGAAACTTAAAATACATTTGCTTCTGCTGTAGAAAAGAAAAATGTAAGAGACAGATGTCATCCAGGACTGAGAACAATTATCCTAGAATATTTTAGAAACCAAGGCCCGTGTGCAGAAAGATAAGCCCAAGCAAATAGATCAGTTGCTGGCAGCAGTTAAAACCAGTGATTAAGAGTACGGATGGAACAAAAAACTGCAGACAGAGGAGTTACCGGGACCAGAACTGAGAACCACGTAACTTATAAGAACAGATCTTTTTTTTCATTATTGGCTACTGTAAGTACTTTCAAATCCTGTGCAGACTCAGGTAGCTGGAACTTCAGGCTTGACATATTGTAGATTTGCAATAGCTTGCACGCAGCTTTTGTAAAGCCATATGAGATGTACATGTATATATAACTGAAACACCAGCTACCCACCTGAACTACTACCACCATATAGGTATACTTTTTTACAAGTTCTAAAAATAAATACAAGTGAACATCCCTCAACAGAGGGAAAAGATACCAGTTACTCAGTGTACAACAAAAGCTTATTTTCCCAATTTCTTCAAACAATGACACAGTTCAAAAGTCCCTGTAGGCCTTATCTACTCTGAATCACCCATTTGAACAAAGAAGAATAAGAACCACGCATATTGAAGTGAACACTGCAGTTTAAAAAGTTAAAACTTTGTGCTGCTTTTGAATGCAGAACTGGTGTGTCTATATATCCACCACCACCTGATTTCTTACAGAGCTGTTTCCTTCATACAAGGAATTTATTTCTTGTTCAATTCAAATACATAGCATATTTAAATTTTAATGTGTTTATTACATACACCTTCTTGTATTAAAGCTTTTTTTATAATTCAAACTAAGTTGTATTTCAGAATGTATGTGATTACAGAATTAATACAGTGTGTGCAAAACTTGAGATGTGAATGACAAATGTTTTTTTTAGCCTACTGCTGAAGATGTTTTAAAGAACAAGTCCTCTGCAAGACTCAGTTTTCTGTTGGTCTTCTCTGGCTCATTAAAATGTGCGGCCTTAACACAGACATAATAAGCATTTTACACAACATCAAGCACAAAATCCAGCAGACACAGACACATTGGTATTGCAGATCAGTACTGCATCATGAAGGTCTAGTGCAGAAGATTAGTTTTCTATCCTAGGTGTGCCGAATTTGAGTGATAACGGTCCCTCTGTGTGGGGAGATGCTCAGCTAAATATGCCAGAGATCTGAACTCTCGAGTTCCTCTCTGTACACTTGATGACAGGGAACTTGCTAATGAAGAGAAAATAGGACAAGTGACTGACTCCCCTCTTCACCTACACAGTCAGTACAGGGATGTACAGCTCCAAAACCATAGAGCCTGAGGGGGTTCTGGATTTATTTTTCCATATAATTATTAATTAAATGGTTATAAATTAAATTATTACTAAATCAAATTGAAAAATCTTTTCAAAAGTAGCATTATTTTTACGTGTCTTTTTTTTCCAGCTTTTGAGTTAAAGACTTAATACAATCCGGTCTGACCTACTAAGATATCCTCTGCAGTAAGCCTTGTGTACAATACCATCAATATTTATAGGCAGCACTCATTTTCCATTTCATGTGTTGTAATCTAAACTACTTGGCTACTAAAAGATTGTACAGATTTTACCCCTATTAAAGCTCAAGGAGAAGTCCCATTCGTGGGTATTTTTCTTGCTTGTTGACATGGTAGACTGTCAGAGATCCCAGCAGCATTAAATTAAAATGATTGCACATTGTTTAGATAAAAAGCCTTTCAATATCTGAGTGCATGTCTTAATGACAGTGATAAGAGGTTAAATGATGCATATTAAGAAATGATTTATGCACCCATATGTGTGCAGTTTTTCTGCAGTCCTACAGCAACAGAGTATACCCTTAGATTAAGAAAAATCAAAGTAAAAACAGTATTTTAACAAAAAGCTGATCAGTGCTTTGAGCTTGCGCAATGTTGAAAAAATGGTTTGTATACTTCAAGTGCATGGCTTGTTCTTTAATTGCCTTACATTTTCCTTGCATATAAGATGATCAAATAAGTGAATTATTACAAGACAATGTGTATAGCTTGTTTCTTCTGTAATTTATAATACTTTTGCATTTAGCAAAATGTATCTCCATTGATTGCAATGGATTTTATGGTCATGATAGAATACCCTTTTCTCCATATGTTACTACAGTAAGGAGGTCTGGGGAAAACTGTTTTGTTTCAGTATCAGTGCTTCTGAAAGGTGATAACTGGTTTTTCTAATGCCATATACAGTAGATTCGTAATCTATTTTTTCATACATACCTGTATACAGCAATATTAAAGGCAAACATAGTTTTAAAAGGTTACTAAACATGGAAACATTTGTAGGCTTCATTGTTTGTACCACAGAATTTTGTGAAACAATATTGTGTTTGTGGTTTCTAACCAGCTAACCATTGAATGAAGAGCCTCCCCAGATACACAGTCTTTGGACTTTTTTTTAGCACAACAATGGCAAAAATCTGTCCTTTTTGCTTTGAAACTACTGTTACTACTGAGAAATCAGATTATGAGTATTATCATAGCTTATTCACTGTTCTGTAAAACACCTCTCAGTCTTAGCCAAACGTGAAGCTAGCACTGCCTGGCACTGTGTCCAGACATGTCGATTTGTCTGGGGAACCAATACTACCAACAGCTAGGGTGCAGGGTCAGGGAAGAAGTCTGTTATTCTCAAATTTGAGGCAGCCCAACTGGAAGACTGCAATGAGTCACAATTAACTCGCACACAGACAGTGACACACCAGGTATGTTTTGCAGTTGGTACACTGTTTAATGAGTCCTGTACATCTAGGTTGGAGTATGAACTGTTTAACCCCAGAGAGACCTTATTCTACTGCTGTGGCTGGTCTGGCAAGCACAAGTGACCTGGGGCTAGTTTGTCAAAACCCACAAAGAGCTCTACAGTGCAGGCACTTAGACTCCTATACGCATTGTAAGCCATGGTCAGGGCTTGTCTAAGGCTCCAGATTCATTGGTTAGATTGCTACCATATGGTTTCTCATCCACTGGACAATGTTGCTAATTATTTTACATTCACACTGTCACTTATCAGTACTCCAATGATGTTCTGTCTCTGTCACCTGCATCGTGTTTCATCATTGATTTAATGTATGGAAATGAATTACGGTTGCAAGTTGCACATTTATACCAATGATTGTACTTTTATATTTCTGTACAAAATTCAAATAAATTTATTCTGCAGATGTTTTCCCCAGGCCTGGGTTTCTCTTTGGCTTAATTGTGATTTGTACTCATTAGTTCTACAGTATATACAACATTATAAAACATGTTGTGATAGAAGTTAAGCTATATGCTTCATATTTCAGCAGACAGTCCTGAATGCCTATATTTTACAAGCCTATGATACGAAGAAATGTAAAAGAACACTAATGTATCTCATCAATTGCATTAAGTTTTTATTGATTTTCATAATCATGCTAAATTTCCAAATAGGCACTACCAGGAACTGAACAGTCCAATTCCATGGACTTTAACTCAAGTTCAACTTCTCAGGATACAAATCCACCAGTATAGTCCAGTAATCCTTACCAGTGACTTTGTTAGTGAACATATTTATCTTCTCTGTTTCCTGTCAGCTATAAACAATCTGTTTATTCATAGTCAATCCTGATCTCGTCAGTTTCGCTGCCCCGTCCTGGGCTGTTTGAAAGAGAGAGGCGAGAGCCTGTCGGAGTTCATCTGTTACCTGTCACTCATCCTCCCTTACACACATCTGCCAGACTCATACTTGCTTCACATTTCTCTCTGCAGTGGAAATGTTGCATTATCGCAGTGCAGGTGACACTTTCCTAGACCTATCCTTTAATTAGAGTGCAGTTAGCACCCTATCTGATCATTTCTTTAGAGTTTATGTTTAATAAGGGGCTAACTGTATTTCAAGATTGCTTTTTTTCTTATTACCATAGATTTCTATAGTTCATCCTTTTTTTTTTGTTTCATTAGGCATTGGAAGCAATCTTGAGTTTATAACCTTTTGCCTCTCTAAATGTCATATTTCCTCTTGCTGTTTTTGTTTTCCTCTCCTGTTTGGTCTGTGCATGGCTCAGGCAGTCAGACATGGTAACTGGGAGTACGGTGTTGAAACACTTGTCCAACACTGAATTTTAAATAGCAACTCCACGATCCTCTGAGAGGCATCTGAATTTGAGCAATCCCTCAGACACGCACGCATTTTAAAAACTGGACATTTCGTGACTTAAGGCTTCAGTTTGTCAAGAGTACAAACCAGAAAGGTATCTGACTGGTTTGGTCTACTCATCAGAATCTAGACGTTAACAGCACAGATTTTTTTTTTAATCAGACATTTGAGAGATGCAAAGCCTACTTCTCAACCTCACTGTCAAAACGGAAACGTTGCTGTACGGTGTTGCGGTACATCACTACGGCTGTTAGTAGCAGATTAACACAGACCCCAACTGTCGCCCTGCTTTGGATAACGCACAATTTAAAAAAATAACACTCCTTGAAGAACGTGCTGATCTGTAAAGGCTGGAGAAGTGTATAAAAAGCCTGCACAGTAAAAGTCATGCATTACTGCATTGTCCATTTAGGGCTGTCAGTCACATGCCATATGATGATAAAACAGCCTATAATAGCACAAGATAGATGTCATCTTGACACCATTCCTTGCTCTGATATAGAATGTGTTTTTAAGCATCTGACACCAAAGCCACAGTCTTCTTTTATTCATAAGCAGGAGCAGAAAGGAAAGCTGCAATCCATTTTTTGCTCACTTTGCAGCAAACCAATTTTGTTCCTTTAACTGCCTTTGAATGAACTGCCCGAGCAAAGGCAGGCTTACACTTCACTGATCCTAATCCAAGCCTTTCCAAACCCATGCACTGCCCCCACTGAGCAGGCAGTGGTGTGGCTGGTTGTTCTGACCTACTGTATGAAGCCTTTAATCATTCCAGTTTATTCCTGCAGCTTCGTTCAAGGGCCCCTACCTGGTGAACAAAGACTGCGGCTATGTGCAGCTGAGATCTCAAAATACCTGTCAACGTCCTGACAAATTGAAATCAGAATGATTTGGAACAGTCCAATTTTATTTTATTGGAAAAAAAAGGCAGGGAAACAGTTGGGGGTACTAAACTCTAAATTGAAAAGGCAATCAAAACAAAATGTTCTTTGAAATTCTGATGTCCCTCTGCCTTGTTCTTATAATTGTCAGGTTAGAAACCTTGTTAGCTCTCTTAGCAAAGACAGGCTGAAGGCCATCAATGTCTATAAACCACGCCATAAAGAAGGGCAGAATAAATGCTCTCTCGGTTGTATATAAGAACCACTTTGTTTCCTACTTACTTTATCTCCAATACATTCTGACCACATTAAAAAGTCCTTACCTTTGCAGGATATTGATGATTCTGGGTTCTGCTTTTGGAGGCCCTTTTCTTCAGCAGGAGTGTTGTAGCCGAGCTGCAGGAGGTGCTAGGCTGTGCTTTTGAGTATTTAATTCATTTTTCAAAGGGAGTTCCACACTCACTGAAGAGCCATTGAGCAATTACCCAGTGTTTCTCCTCTGCTTCACAGGTTGCTAAGGGGTGTAAAGCAAGTTCCCCTATAGCAGTGAGCACTGATAATCTTAAGGTTAAGCAAAAAGGTCATCAGACAACACGTCATCGTGTACACACTGTCAACCCTGAAAATGAGGCTGTTTCATCAAAGTGGATCTGACGTGTTGGAAGCTAACCCTGCTGTGCTGCCTCTGTACTGCTCCTTGGCATCTAGCAGGAGGTCTGACTTACCTCGGCAATAACTGTGTAGAAAAGCCAAGCAGCAGAGTTACCAGCTTGTCTCCCTACAGGCTAAGTAGTTTTCTTGTTTGCCTAGCTATAAAGTGCTAAGCTTCCACATCAAGGTGAAATTAATGACTAAATATGAATTAATTGAGATTAATTAGGAGCACCACCACCTTCAGCTGCAATACTCTGATCTTTTACAGTTGACCTCATCTGACATCTTGTCCTGGAAACAAGCTCAGTGGCTAATTGCACACTGAACAACTTTCTTATACGTCTTTAGATGTCTGATCTTGGTGGTATATCGTTTATTTTAAAATCAAGTTTTCATCATCTCTCTACACACCTCTAGGGAAAAGAAAAAAAAAACTCTTACAGGAGGAACCAGAAACATTTCCCATCAGACTTCAGATTACTGGCAGTTTGATGCCATCAGCCTTGATGCTCTCCACAGACCTGGGAAGTAGAGTCATTACTGCAGTACCGTTGTCCTGCCAAAGTGCATTTCATATGGCTGTACTGTAGTTCATCTAATAGGGAGCAGGCTGCAGGTGGCCAGCAAAGTCAGCTCTGGTAAATAACAAAAAAAATCCTGGCACAAAAGAAGCCCAATAAATCCCACAAATCGTTTCAACATGACCTTGTAAAAAAATTATGCAGGAGATTATGCAGGAAGAAGCAAAGCTGAACACAAGTGATAATCACCCCATAATCACAGTAGATCCTACAACACTTCTCCTACATATGCAAGGAAGCCCACCACCCTTTATCATTTATATAAAGAGGGGAAAAGGACTGGAAAAGGCACTTTGAGCCTTTGCGTTAAAGAGTGACTGGCTCTGGAGGAACAGGGATATTTCAGGACTGGAGCCAGTTTTTTTATTGGGGGTGGGGGGGCGCTGGGGGAGGCTGCTTCTCTCATCCCCTGGTTCATTTGCCTTGTTCCAGGGGGAGGGAGAAGACACGAGTATCAGATATGAATTTTCCCTTACTTTGAAATCTGAAACTGAGAGGACGCTAGATCTAAACGGGGCAGATTATAGACCCCCAACGCCAGCTCCCTCAGAGCACTGGGCCTGGGATATTAATTACTCCGCTGAAATTCAACAGCAGGAATGCTATCGCAGACAACAGATTGGAGTCTCTGCTATGGCATTTAGAAAGTTCCTAATAAAGAGGTCTTAACCTTCTTACTATATCTCTCTTCTCCAATCAAATCAACCTTCTCTACACACACATTTTAAAAAAAAAAAACCTTATTCTTAAGAAAGAACAGCTGTTTCATGTTATCTACAGAACTGCTGTCAGCCATTATCTGTGAACTGGCCTCTATAGGCACCAGCATTTATGTCAAATTGCCATAAAAGCACAGGCAAAAAGCTACCCGATGTTTTTAAGGGTGTCAATGATTTCTGAGGCATTTATGGATGAATCAGAGACCTCCAAAAAATATTCCCCTTGCAGTGCAGAACAACAGTGTCTATAAAACAATGTGATGAGTCTTTTTTAAATCATAATGGGTGAAAAAAATATTTTAATTTTCTGCAAGATTTTGAACCTGACATCTAGGCTATAAAAGCTGCCCATAGATCATTCTCAACTCTAATTAACAACAGTCAAGACAGTATACAATATATTTTCACTCTCTCTTGTCTCAAGAGGGCATCAAGGGTTCAAAATCAGTTCAGCATTTTAGTTGTTCAAATCCAGGTCATGAGGCAAGTGACCAAATAAATTTAGAATGTATTAAAAAAATTATATGATTCCATTACATCAATCCAAAACGTAGTCCTCAGAAATGTGACTGGTACATTTATTGAAAATGATAATTTTTTCCCAAGGTATCTGAATCTCGGTCCTAATCGTCAAGACCATCTTATTTATATATCAAATCAATAATAAGCACACATCTTTATCCATCAATATTAAAATATGGAGGAAAAAAACTTTTGAAGGATTAAAATGAAATTATTGAAACCAATGTAGACAGAGGTACAGACGTTCCAGAAACTAGAGATCTTTATTTAATAAATTCGGTCATAAGTAATGTTCACTAGCCTTCTAAAAGACTGAAGATATGAAGACAAACCTGAACAAAATAATAAACCAGAGCAAACAAGCTGTTCTAAAACTGAACAGGAATCATAGAATACCAATCCCGTCCCTGCTCCAGCCCTTTACAGGGTGTGTGGCGGAAGTAAAAGATGCAGAAAAGTGCTGAAGTGCTCTCATGGCACGTTTTTAGAACGGGCAACAATTACATTCACAAAACCGTTGTTCTTTGTCAAAATGTCTGCTTTCATTTTCTTCAGCTCTTCTTTGATTTCTTCTTCGGACATATCTGAGACTGGCAGTGCCTTGACTTTGGAAAGAAAGTCCTCAATCAGCTTTTCACCCTCCTGGAACATAGAAGAAAATGCATAAAACTGACGTATGCATTCCAAGCTCAAAGATACAGTATGTACATTTCCTGCTTAGCTACAGTACAACAAAGCTGCTGGTCCGTTCTGGAAGAACCGCAGTGAAGAGAAGGTAAATTGCAATTTATGAACTTGACAAAAAACTTCACTTGCTTTTTGGATTTAACTGCTACAGGCCGTTATGCTTTCAAAAACCAGGTTAATCAACCAATCAAGAGAACTGCTATGCACTGCGAGAGAAACATCTGCCTGAGTAGCCCAAGCTGGCCTGATGTCCAGCATTCAGGGGAAGCACTTCCCGATAGATCTCTACTGGTGAGAGGTACTGTATACAGAGCCACGGGCACAGACAGCCCTGTACATTGTTATACTCATTACCAGCGAACTACATATCAAAGTCCTCCATAAATTTGTTTTGTGTAATTTGCTGAACAGCAGGCTCCGAGAGCTGGAAGTCGATACCCAACACCATTTTTATTTTCACATAAATGGATTTTTTTTTCTGTAGAATTGCAAAATACAAAAGTGGTCACATTCCACTGCTTTAGCCAAAATGGATATTAGAGATAATTCAATTTTATGGCCAAGCTTATATCAGAAGTCTATACATTTAGAAGATCATTGTACAAACACAGCAAATATATCAGTTAAAGTTCAGTACTTGACCAAGAATTTGTGCAGACTATAAACAATCTGAACGGCAGATTTTTTTTTTTACTGTAACGAATCTAAACACTACATTCTTAAATAGTATTGAAGTACAGAGTGTTCATATAGATATAGTAGGAGGCAAAGGAGTCGCCAAGCTTTTCCCGCATGATTTTTCTTCAACAGAGGAACTTTGCACAGTATAGAGTTACTATATGGCTTCCCAGTACCAGCACACGGCTGCACTCGGGCTCGGAGGGAACAGTACCTGTCGGTCCAGGCGGCTCCTCTTGGCAGCAGGGCCCTCCCCGCCCTCGTCCGACCTTTCCACATGCTGGAACTCCTCCAGCTCCAGCGCCTTCTCCTTGGCGCTCTCGATCACGTGCTTCGGGAAGCTGGCCAGCTCTGCCACGTGGATTCCGAAACTCTGATCGCAAACGCCTGGAGGAGAGAGAGCACACGCCGTCACCTGTAGCGACTCGGGACGCAGCTCAGGGGACGAACCCGCTCCCCGCTCCCCGCCCTGGGAGTTTGAATTTCAGCCCCACAACGGTGTTGAACACCAAACCATTTGCAATTACATCCTTATCATTTAACCACTTTTACATGCTGACCTCCGAGTCCCTTTAGACACACAATGAGTGCACGTTAAGGGGACCGAAGGAAGGCTCTGTTTATTCCACTTACAATGCAAGTCAATAATAAAATAAACTTCATAGGCTTCAACGTTAATAAAGGGAATACAGGAATAGCATCTAGTCAATTTAAGCACATGGATTTCGACTGAAATGTGCAATCTCTCCAGACTTCATTTTGCTAAATTAAAATGACAAATTGCAGATTGCTTGGTTAAAGCTCTGCTTTGCTGTCTGAAATCTCTTTCACTTCTGGGATGCGGTTTTGTGGCGAGGCAGGTGCTTTAAGAACTCTTTCAAATGCATTATTAATTATTTTTTACACTGCCAGTCAACTCAATTCTCTTGAATGGACACAGAAAGCAGCTAAAAACGGGCATGTTTTGAATCTCTACATGGAAATTACACCATTAAATGATCAGAGACAGCCTCTCATACAGTGTTGGTTTGAAGTATTTCATGGATATCTGTTCCATGAAGAAGCATTCAAGTGTAGAAATGAATCCTGTAAAACACATGTATTTTTCATTTACTATATATGACATTGTTCACATAGGTTGTTTTCTCTTTTACAGTTACATTCTAATGCAGACTCCTGGATCCACAATTCACCTGCTAATTTCTGAAAACAAAAAACTCTGGTAAAAACGAAAAACAAAAAGTATAATTAGATAAACACTATCATGGATGTAGACATGGCTGGCAAAAATAATGAAAGACATTTCTCTTCAAAAACATCAAGACTTACTTAATAATTCCTGACAGTGATCCCCACAGGGCTTGACTGAGGCACAAGGCTAATTGACAGCAGTGTTGCATGAAACCTGTTTCTCTTGTCATCATTGATTCTGTTTCCTATGAAAAAGTCTGATGCATTTATCTCACTACTCTATCAGCACAACTAGACGTTGGGAATATCAGTTCAGAAATACTTTAATTCAACACACTTCTTACATTCCAAAAGACAGTCCATCAGCAGTGGCTGGTGATGGCAGAGAGAGAGAGAAGAGGCAGACAGCTGCATTCATGGGCAGACAGAAACACATTGGTGAGCTGAGCCTGCAATGCTATAAGCAGGCCTCTGGCACCAGCGTGAAAACACAAAGATAAGGTAGGTGGCCATCCAGCCTTGAGAGATCTGCAGCCAGAGGCTGCTCCAATCCCTTAGGCTCTGCAGGCAGCCCGTCTCCATGCATCTTTGGAAACCAAGCCATAAATTAAGCCAGCTTCCTCCAGCACAAGAAGGCTGCCTCTTGTGCCAATTCACAATGGAGAAGCACCCTTCCAGTAAACTGTAAAAGGACTGATAACCAAGCAGTGCAATCTCACACAGACCTCTTTTCAGGAGATCCAACAGAAGCAGCACTCGAAGGGAATATTTATTTGTTAAATCGCAAAGGCAGATCAGTAATAAATGTAAACTGAACTCAAGAACACATACACACCAAAATACAAATACAGCAGTATAAAAGGAACTACTGTATACCTAACAGTATATTGCATAATATTGCACTGCATTAAGGAATGAGAGTGTCTGACAGCAGATATGTTTCTCATTGCAGAATGCAAATTAATTCTCAGAGAAGGGCTTTACTAAAGTATGAGTGAGGCTCCTTAAGAATTGCTACTTTGAAATTGATATAATGTATATAATATACAGCTCAAATAATTCTATCAATTTCTTTGTGCCAGCCACATAATATAATTAATGATCTCTTGAAAGTCAGACTGTCTCAGTTTTACTCCTTCACTGACAAGCAGATGTGACTGCACAGTACTAGTGGAATTCATTGGATTGTAGTCCCTTTTTCAGAAGAGGTTCATACAGGAGAATCTGGTTCAATGGCGAAGGACTGTTCATAAACAGGTGAAATGACAAAATGAATGAATTGCTAATAAAGAAACTGGGGCTGCTTTGCAGTCCAGCCAAAATGCCAAAGAGAGTTCACAAAATGCAAAAATCAAAACACACAAATACAACTGAACATCTCTATGCCATAGAAAGATAAGAAAAAATAAAACAGACTGTGAAAAGAGGAACTGGACATGACAAGACATGCGGGACGTTGTGCATGGGTAGCAGTGATGTGTGCACGTCTCTGACACCTGCCTTTCTTGACACGGTAGAGCATGGTGAGCGTGTTGTCTGTGGTCAGCGCCGTGACATGCAGGTTGCTGACAGTGGAGACCTGCTCAGCAAGAGCTGTCAATTCATGGAAGTGCGTGGCGAAGAAGCAGAAGGCCTTGATGCGCGTGGCGATGTACTCCGAGATCGCCCAGGCCAGCCCAAAGCCATCGTACGTGGAAGTGCCTCGGCCCAGCTCGTCAACGATGATCAGGGAGTCCTCTGTTGCTGACCTGCACATACGCAGAGGACAACGGCGTGAGCCCCAGGAGAAAACAAGCACACTCCAAATTTTTAACTACAAATCTTAGTGGTCTTGAGATGGTGAGGATTGCGCCTAGTTACATATATATTTTGAAAAAAACATCCAACAGATTCAAAAATTGGACCTATACAAAGGAGGGGAACCTAAGTGAACAAAGATCTTAAGATGCACAAAAGCCTCCAACAGGCTTTTCACTAGCAAAATGTAACCATATCATATTTCCATTAAGAACAGCTTCTTCAACCAAGTGGAATTTATACTTATCTGAGGTGCTGTGAAAAGAACATTTAATAGTCAACTCTACCCCAATTTGGAATTTCTCCTCCCTGACAAACTCAGCTCATCAGTATAACTGACACTAGCGAATGAATACAGCACAGTGTGCACATGTTCTCAGAAACCCTCACTTCGCTCATTCCCACCGTCAGTGCACAAAGCCAATGAGAGCTGGAGCATCACAGGGAGACCAGATGCATTTTACAACAATTAGCACTGCAAGCTCACAGATGCCTTTCAGGCAAATGCTTATATGATTGGGGATGCAGCAGTATTGTAAATCAAGAATACCCAAGGCTATAAACTTTTTCATCATACATTTATTCATAGAAGCTGTCTAGCACCTATACAACTAGGTTTTAAGGACTCTTCTTCTCCATTTTCAAGTAGTAAATCTCAACAGGGCACATTGTTGCATATGGTTCTCAGTCTTGGCAGATTGATTTACATGCAAGATGCATGTATCTGCCATCCTAGGAGATACTAGAGAATTTAATTTTCCTAATTCTAGACTTGATAAGACTTAAAATTTAGCTATGATTTCTGCCATTTATAATATTGAATATATAATATTGAAATGCACCCTGGAAGATCACATTAGATATATGAAGTAAATGCTTTAACAAATCTCAGATCCTTTAGCTACAAGATGTGTACACTCACGGTGGTATTATAATACCTCAAACACAGAAATGTGATATGGCATTTACCACTGTATTATGTTCTCCCCACTGATGGTAAATAGTATATGGTGCTTTGGTGAAAGCTGTTCCATTCAGTTGAATTTTTTTTTTAAATCACGTTGCTCTAATTGTGAATGCTTAAACTGAACACTGCAAGGGGATCAACTTCTAGCACTCAGGAAAGTGTATATCATTTGTAATTAAAAATGGCACTGTTTTGAAAGTGGCCGAATACTTTTGCAAGGCAAAACATGGTTTTATGTAACATTTATCAAACCCCCTTAAAATCAATTACACTGATCACACAGTGATCAGTGTATTTTGCTTACCGAAATAGATTTTTAGTCTCAATTAGAGCAAACAAACATTATTGTTCTCCATATTCTTTCTGCTGTAAAGTTCTGAGGCAAATGAAACAAGCCCTGAGCACCAACAAAACTAATTAACAGAAATCACTTTGTGCAGGAAATGAACTAGCTGTGTTCTCTAAAAGTACCACTGAGCCCTGAAACATCTTTCAGAACAACATCTTTGCAAGCGAGACTCCGTCTTGCTTCTACCTCTCATTTAGCTGTTCCCCTATCTTTCCTGTGGTCATGGCAACCACTCTTATTTCAGTTGGCATTTTTTTTGTTTGGTGACTCTAATGAGAAACTTGACAGCAAACAATGATTTCTTCATTTGGCAGTTTAAAAAGAAATCCAACAGAAAGTTTCCCATTTATATTCCATGAGGGCTAACAGTATCAATGCTCGGTTTTCTTCGCTAGCTTTAAAGGTAGCCATTGACAAGACCTACCGGAGGATCGAAGCGGTCTCCAGCATCTCAGCCATGAATGTAGACACGCCCTTCAGCGTGCTGTCGCCAGCGCCCACGCGTGCCAGCACACAGTCCACAATGCTGATCTCCGCCGAGTCGCACGGCACAAAGCAGCCAATCTGAGCCATCAGTACGATTACGCCCACCTGCCTGATATATGTGGACTTGCCTCCCATGTTGGGACCTGTGAGGCAAGACAACCCACAGTCAGTGCTTTCAGATGACACACACCGGATGGATGTAAAAGCTACTATTGAACAGTGACCCTCGTCCGTTCTAACTGTTATATCAAATACAATGGTTGGTCGAACTTTTATGGTGAAATATTTCACTTCTACAAGTATTGCTAGTGAATAACTAGTTAATAAATGGGAAAAAAAGTGGGTCAAGCCAGGAAGCTAAAATTAAAACTTATAAGGGACACTTAAAACTGCTCCAAATGAGATGCAGCATACAGTCCTAAAATAAGTTAATTGCCTCCTCCCGAAAAAAAAATGAAACTTGTTCTGATTAATGACCGGCTTTGCTAGGATTGCTTGAATGGCACTTGAGTCTGTTAAGAGCGGTCCTTCCTTTGCTTTATGGAGCTCACTTTATTAACTCTGCTTTTCTCAGGGTAATGCAGGAATGCGGACAGAGAACGTCAAGGGCTTCCCGTATAGAGAGGCGCTGGCTAGCGGCAGAGCCTCACCCGTGATGATGTGGAAGGTTTCCTGGCCGCGGATAAAGCTGACGTCATTGGGAATAAAGACGATGTCGTCCTGAGCCTCGATGCAGGGGTGACGCGCCCCCTGCAGGCTCAGCTTCCCCGACCCCTTCTCCAGCATCACAGGGCGCACATAGGGCACGGGCGCTGCGTTCGACACCTGGGCAAAGCTCACCACCGCATCCAGCTGGGCAATAACGTCATTCAGGATCTGGATGGGCTCCACATAACCTGAGGCAACGGCACAGACACGCAGCATGGTGAGGGACCGGGCACGGCTCCGATGCTGTTCATTTCAGACAGCAGCGAGAGGACAGGCATATTAATGACCACAGAGCCCTACAAACTTAGTATAACATCAGCACCCATCACCCCAAAATAGCAATAGCAGAAATATCTGGCTTTCCCAAAACATTACCACTCCCATGACACAAATCTGGACCTACCGATCTGCATCAGGCCCACGAAGCCAAGCTAACGGTTTCATCTTGAATTCCATTCCATATTATATCTGGTGCTGTACTGAAAACAGTGCATATCTTTATGTCGGACCTGCCCACTTCAAAAAGGTAGGGTTTATACCCAAGTCCAGTGAGGCAAAAGGTATTTGGGCAAAATGAAATTTCTTCAGTAGCCCTTTAAACCAGCATTCTTTCCTGGATAACCTATGGAGGTGTCAGAAACCTCACATTTCACTGGCAGATAACACACTGGAGGACCTGTGGAGACGAGTCATTTGAAATGTTTTCAAATAAGAACATCCTTATTCTCCAAGGCTTTATTGTTTATTAAGACAGGAAGATGCTTTGCAATTTGACAACATGCATGAGTATATTAAAAAAACACAAGAATGTGACAAAGTACAGAGTGAAGGGTCAGTTTAAATTAAATCTTTAATTAAGAGAAGAATATGAGTTAATCGGGAACCAGTACCAAGAAAAATGAGATGTTGTCTAGAATTAGGATTTTTAGCCTAAAATAAATATTAACCAAAGTCCTGGATAACCTAAAGAGGTGTCAGAAACATTGCAAATAAGCCACAAAGCAGCATGACACTAGAAAATGAAACAACAACCTAGTCGAACTGGAATTAAAGGAAATAACAACTTAATTAATACTCATTCTATAACTCCCAAGTGAAAAAACGAAATGCAACCTGAAAATGAAACCTTATTAGTATGCAGGGTAAAGTCATTAGAAAGAAAGCCATTTTCTAATCTACGGAGAAATATTTTATTTCAAATTAACAAACATGAGCCATCAGCAAAATATTTTTTGGCCTTTTTAAAACCAGTTTTTAGAATTCTTTATCAGAATGCATCAATTACTGTTATGCTTAAAGCCTCTTGACATGGTACACAATTGTTGTAAGTTCAAGGCATTAAAATACAAGATCTGAAGAGAATACAGAAACATTCTGAAGTGTTCCAGAAAAGGACTTTTCTCTTGCTAAAACCTCAAAAAAGGACTATTCTCTTGCTAAAACCTCAGCAGTAATCTGTAAACTGGGGCTGTATAAAGTCATTTTATCGTAGGAACTGCACACAGCCCTTAAATTGGGTCTGTTATGCAGCATATGGATAGATTTAAACTTGCTTTATTTACATAATTGCTTTAATGAAACTTCTTTGAGTAAGCTTGCCAACTGTGTGAGGGAAAATGATTTTCATGATGGACTTTTTAGACACAGAAATAAACGTTTAGGGGAAAAAAAGAATGCGCTTCTTTATTAAACTCATTGCTGGAAAACAATTCCAGCATACACTGTCCTCAATACCACACAAAGTCTGAATTGTATTCTGACTCTATTACATTGCAGTATAAATAAACTACAGATAATTTGGTAGCAATGAAAGCAATACAACCATTTTATAATTGTACTGCTTTGAGCACAGATACAGAGGAGCAGAGATGTTTACAGTGGAAAAACATGAGACGACCGAGGATTCTTGCCTACATTTTTGAAAATTGCTTTCTATACCCCTATGCAAGAATTGAAGATTTTTTAATCAGCTTGGCTCCCTGCTACGACCCTCATACTTGTGGAGGAGGCACATGCTGTCTTCCTGCAATGTACTCTCGTCAGAATCATTTTTCATGCTGTCAGTCCCACAATGCCTGTGCAGGAGATTTAGTGTGAACAAGAAGAGCTATCTGCAATAACAAACAATCAGCCAACACATTTACAACAGCCTCCCTTTCATACATAACCTTTCTGAAGCTCTTACGATGAGAATCCCAGCAACACCCTGGGCTTACAGGTGGATGTCAAGGCCAGGGGTCTGTCTCGCACAGCAGGCAGCCGGAGCCCACTTTTCAACAGTGGTACCTCGATTGTTCTTCTTCACATTGACTCACTATTTAGGCCACTGTCACACAGAGCGATTTCTAGCTTTCATGAACTAACATGCACTGCTAGCACAGAACATTTACTCTTATTTCAGCACCTTTCCTTCCTATTAAGGTATTCAGCCTTCTGAACAGTAATGAGTTGTAACTATATAAATATTATGATTATTACAATAAGCTAATAATAAATAAAAACATCTAATTTTATTACTTTGTTATTTCTAAACATGTCAGAAAAATGCAAGACAAAAACAAGCCCAGGAATTAATTGCTGTTAAGACTGTCTCCATAGATTGTCTCCCTCTGCTTGGTGCAGCACACACCTCTCGCAGGCTGATTACTGGACAGAGGAAGATTGGTTCATTTTCTGAAGACTGCCCCATAACTTACACTTACAAAGCAGCCTTATGTAAAGCCCTGAAACCTTAACTTTTTGTGCAAACTTCTTTGTACAAACCCTACAGCAGAGATTAGCTTCAGATTATACTGGTAAAGTTATTATACCATAGTCTTAGAAATCTTCTTCCATCTAAAAAAACCATTAACCTTTAGTCAATAAAAAAGACCTTAGTGATAATTTCAAACATGGCTACCCGAGGGGTGCAGGAACAGGAACACTAGCACACATGACACACATCCAGCCCTCACCTGTGGAGATGCTGATGATTTCCTTCACAATGGCATTCTGGGCCTCCTCGTACTCCTCCCTGCTCCTGGTATATTCCTCATTCAGAGAGCTGAGTTTGCTGTAATTACAGGGACAACGAAAACGTGAGCTTTCACACATCTCCACCATTGACTCCTTGTGCTGCTGGCTTCACCCCAGCTCTAGCTGCCTGCATTGGGACACTGCGTTTCAGACCCAGCATCTAAGAAACACATCTCAACCACTCATGCTCCTCCCAGGACCTAAGGTCTGCCTTTTGCTTCTTCGCGTATTTAACATGTATGTTTTGATCTTATGCACCTCTTCTATATTGCAGCTCAGATTTATGACGTTGGGTAAATAAAAGTACTTTATCACTAACAAAGCACAATCAATCCTGATTCTTTGATGTACAAAATTGTGATTTCTCAAAATAGCACAGTACCTTTGTTAATGCTTAGACTACAAGGAAATCCCACACAAACAGCCTGCCTGTGTCAATAATAAGGTTGTCACTTGTTTTTGGCTGATGTTTCACTTAAC